GGGCAACCTGATTCAAGATGCAACTTACTACGTGGAACAAACATCGACAACAGAACCAGCTAAATAATTTGTGGAGCCCAGTGCAAAATGAAAGTGGGAGGTCCCAAGTGAAAAAATTATTAAGAATTTCAAGATACTAACAGCAGAGCAGTAAACCAAGCATACATGAAACCTGTGTGACTGGTTGAGATGCTGGAATACTCCTTGTTCTAGGTGACAAGACTCCAGGACCAGCGAGAAACTGTTTAACCCAGTTGCAGGAATAAGAGCTATTCCAATTTGCAACTTCTTTAGAAACAAAAACCTTTTGCTCAACTGAAATCTTACACGGACATCCCACAGGAAAATCAGAATCAATGTGGAGCCCTCTGTCCCAAACATTTTATTTCAAAAAGGTCACTAGCAGGCTATGAATGGCATTTGTAATATTTTTCTTAGAATGTTTTTTTTGAAGGGGCGCCTGGGCAGCTGGGGGAGAAAAATTAAAAAACACAACACACTGGACTGCTTGAGAACAGCATGTTCATGTAACCTGGCAAACAGATGTATGCTGTGACTTGACAGAATCAGGCCGAATCAGCCCTAATTGTCAACTGTGCTCTCTGCAGCTGCTTTCCCTCTGTCATAATTATTTAAACTGTCATAATTTATTCATCCCCAGACAAGCTTACATATTCTAGGGTAACTAGTCCAGGCTTTCAGATCAGAAGGGTTGACAGCCCTAGTCACGTTTGACCCTTCTCATCTACCTACATTTCTGACTATAGAAGGAGTCTTTTCTTCATCAATTTTTTTTTTAAACCAAACCAAAGTTGGTTTCAAAACTAAAGTTTACTGACACAGACACTGAATCTGCAAGTTCATAAATCTGAAGTTAGGAGGAGGGTACAAAAAAATCCCATCAGAAACCATCGTTCCTCTACTTTACAGATACAAGGAAAAAATGGCTTTCCAGCTCACAAATGCTCAGTGAATTTCCTTCAAAGTTATTAAGGAGTCTTTTTTAAAAATATCATCATATATATATATATATATATATTCTTTTTTTATTAAGGTGTCATTGATATACAATCACATGAGCAACATTGTGGCTATTACATTCCCCCCATTATCAAGTCCCCACCACATACCCCACCACAGTCACTGTCCATCAGCATAGTAAGATGCTATTGAGTCACTACTTGTCTTCTCTGTGCTATACTTCCTTCCCCGTGACCCCCCTACATACACTTCCTGATTTGAAATACATGAGACAAAATTTTATTTACGATAATATATCAGAATCACAGAGAATGTTGTATGTTAAATACATTAACTTCAAATGCAATTATCAATAGTTTCTTCTAAAACTGGGAGCAAAGGTAGAGTAATTCCACATGAGTTAAAGCTTAAACCAGTCTTCTTTCTTACTTTGATCCTTTATTTTAATGACAGAACAAAGGAAATGATCAAAGGTCTGATTACCAGTTGAGAAAGATAGAGCAATGAATGCTGAAATGTCTTGGAGAAATAGCCAAATGCACAGCACTCTATGGGTATATGTGCTCATCCACACTGGAGAATTAAAAATATTAAGTCAAAATCTTGATACAGCATAAATTGAAAGTGAGTTGTTTCAAAATAGCAGTAGACTCATAGACACGGGGAAGGGTCTAGTGGTTACCAAGGGGAAGGGGTTGGGGTGGGGGAAAGGGGAATGGGGATAAAGGGCCACAATAATTTGCAACCACAATATAAGTTGGTCACAGAATGGTAGTACAGCACAGAAAATACAGTTAATGATTCTGCAACATCTTACTACGTTGATAAATAGTGACCTCACTAGAGGGGGTGAGGATTTAACAATATGGGTAACTGTTGAACCACTCTGTTGTATATTTGAAACCAACATAAAAGATTGTATATCAACAATACTTAAATTAAAAAAAACTGAGTTGCTCCATTGCCCCATTGCTCCATAACTTATATTTCCATTACTATGTATTTCCAGCAGGCACAAACACTGAATTTAAAAATCCAGGTGTGGTCCTAGATAACTCCTCTGCCTGCAGTCTTCTATATTCAATCCTGCCCATTCAATCTCTACAACCCATTTCTCTCCATCCCTTCTGCCACTGCTTTGATTCTTCCTGGACTAGGACTTGCTAACTGATCCCCAGCTTCTACTTCTGCCCCAATATCTACTCCCTAAGAGTAGGCACTGAGATCTTTTTTAATGGAATAAATGAGATCATAGCACTCTGTTGGTTACCACCCTTCAAAGACTTCTCACAGCATTAAAAAGAAAACCCAAATCCTTAACCGTAGCCACAAAGCCCTATATGATCTTGTCCCCACCTACTTCTTATACCCCAGTGCATACTTGCTCCCGGATCCAGCCATGCTGGCCTCCTCTCAGATCCTACTTGACTCCCCACAAACCTGACTTCTTCTCAGTCTTTAAGCTCAGCTCATATGTCATCTCCCAGGAAGGCTGCCCCTTTTCCCACTGATCTATACTCTGTTGCATTGTGCTGGTGACCATCTTCATGGTCCTTACAGCCTCGACCATCATGCCTCCTGAACTGTTTTTCTGGCTTACCTCCTACCTCTTTGAACCCTGTCTCATTCCCTCATGTACCTCACAAGATGCCTGACATGTAGTAGATGTTTGCTGCACAGCAAATTAACCTATAGATTATGAATATCAAGTACATGTGATGGTCATAGTTAAACCCTAAATGTAGAAATTAAAATATTTTCATCTGTATTCATTTATATGCCCATTTGACAACTCGATTATTTATAGAGCATCCTATGCTAGGCACTATGTTAGGACCAGGAGAATCCAAAGGTCTAAGAATTTTTCAAAAATGTTATATTCTTTATTTAACATGGGCAATTAGAAGAGAGCAAATTACATTACTATTTAGTCTGTTTTCATGTGACCCTAGGGATTTGTGGAAGTTTGGAGACCCAGAAAAGTAAGATGTTTATGCCATCAGTATACTCCCTAAAATCCTAGGTCTTTGAACCTAGGATTCAACTCTTCACACTTGGGAGACTGTGGACAGATGTGAAACTTTGCAGTGTCAGTGGCACAGACTGAAATTCATTTCCCTGAGGGGCTGTTCCGAATGAAACTGTTGAGGTGACACCTGGAAACTGCATGACTGACAGTTTTTGAAACAGACTAGAATTACCGCACTGCAATAAACAATTCCATTGTTCAAACTCTTTTAGAACTCAGCTTTTGGCCCTCCTTGCAGTCCCAGACTCTTTTTAAGAGGTATCCCTGAACAAGGGAAGCAGGTTCAAGAAGACCAACTCCAGGGCACAAAAATCCACTACTCTAATATTTCCACCCATTGGAACAGAGGAGACTGCGGCCCCACCTGTGTGCGCCTCCAGCCCTATGCTGAGCCGACCTCCAGGGCAGCAGCTGGCAGCAACAGCCTCCTGGCTCACCTCAGTGTCATCCACACTGCTTCCCAGCTACGCTCCAGTTCAGATGACTTGGCCCCATACCAGCACAGTGTGAGCTCCAAAAAAGCAGGCGTACTTGTTGCATTTCCCATTTAATCACTAGTGGGCATGCCCAGTACATAGCAGGTAAATACTTGTTAAATAAATTATCATAATTGTTCAAAAGCTAGGACTTGCTACAATGACAGAACTCATAAATGTACCAGCTGTCAGAAGGTGGAAATCCTGACCAACAGCACACAGTCCATGCCTTTGCTCAGCTCATGGCTGAGCCAAGAACCACAGCACCCTCTCGAACAAAGCTTTGTGGATAATCTTTTGCTCATTAAGCTTTGTATTCACTTTTCATTTTGGACAACACAGCCCACCAATAACTTTTACAAAATTAGAGGCAAAATTTGTAAATATGGACTTAGGGCTGTTTTCCTCACAGAACATTGCGCTTCTAACTTCTTGGGAAAGAGCTTAAGACAACTAACAATTTCTTTCACAAAGCAAATAACAACCAAAGGAAGTAGCAGAGATCTGAACTTTGGGAAGAAAACTTATAAACTGCTTTTGTGTCAGAATCTGGCTGGAGGAAGGACTGACTGCCCAGAGGTCTAAGAAAACCACAAAGAGAGTATCAGGAAAACAGGCGGTAGAACCCACCATTCAGGACACAAGTTAAAGCCAGGCTGCAGCTGCAGTTATAAAAAGAAAGAAAAAGATTAATGGGATTGTCTGCTCCTCGCCTTCTCCCACCCAAGGCAGTAATGAAGATTCACAGCCACACATTAATTAGGGAATCGATAGACGTGCCTGGTTACAATATTGATAAAGGGAACCAGATAACAGAAAAGACACAGATTCCCTTGGAATCCAATCAAGTGTTATATGCAATATTTAACTCATGTTTTCCTTTCCAGAAAAATTCCTTTTTTCCATGCTAAGAGGAAGCCCGTGATAAGTTGGCTGCTTTTCTACATTTTGGGAATTTGAGACATTTTCTCACATGGAAGTCACACTGATATTCTAAATCATATAACTAAAATTATTTAGAAATCCACTGTCTTTCTACACCAAAGGATATTGCTTTTAATCCAAACACTGGATTACCAAGATCCTGCAATTATTTTTCACTCCTCCTATAGACAGGAAAACATAAATGGGATTCACCAGAAGGCATGTGAGATGAATGCACTCATTTACTCAATAATAACACTGGCCACAACAGAAATGTCCGATGCAGACCATCCAAACAGCCATCCACTGAGCAGCTTCCTGCTGCGGTCAGTTGGCACCCAACGACTCCTGCATCCTCCAGGCTCCGCACCCCCTTCATACCATCCTCGCCCTGCTCTCCAGCCAGATGGAAAGACCCATCCGCCGCCCTTCCAGCGGCCCGCGCCAGCACCTCACTAAGCGCGGACTCCCGCAGGGGACGCAGCCTTTGTCCCGCCCCGCTGTCCCCGCGAGCGTGCGAGCGAGCTCAGGTTCCTCCCCCGGTAGTCACCTCCGCACACACCTGCAGACAAAGGCGAGCTGCCCCCTCGCTCGCTCCTCCCGGTGGCCTCCCGGGCGGCCCCGGGGCTGGGTGAGGATGCCGCTCTCAGCGCTAGGACGTGGCCAGCAGCAGCCGCACCAGCCGGCCCGGGGATCCTGTCTTAAGTTGAAGCGAACGATAGCCGCGCCTCCCCGCGCCGGGCCCGCCCGCCGCAGCCGCTCATTGGCTGCTGGGGAGACGCGTGGGCTGCTACCCGCGCGCCCAGGCGGGTGCGGCGTTCCCGCCAGGTGCTCCCGCCAGGTGACTCCGCCAGCTGCTCCAGGGCCTGGCCCCGGGCGAGCAAAGACAGGGGTGGAATACGCCCATCGCCAGCGTACTCCCTTACTACGACGAACATACCCCTTTTTGGACTCCCAGGGCTTGACTTGGAATGTTCCTTCTAATCCCACCGAACCTCTTTAGAAAGTTGATGCCGTGGACCCGAGTTTCGGGTTTCTCATAGACCCTGCCTGATGCGTGCTGGGACAGGTGGGCTTGGGATGGGGGCAGGGCGTACTGCAAAGCACAGCCAGAAAGCCTTTGCAATGTCAAGACAAAGCAGAAGCAAACTGGTTTGGTAAATCGGGAACTAAGTTTTTAACTGAGCTAAAAGGTAGTTTTCACAGGTTCCCTGCCAATTTACACGAAGCACCAAACAGTAGTACACCCTGACACACTTTCTGATCTCGGCTTCTCTTAAGTCACCTTCTGTTCACTGCTGACTTGAAGCCAAGATGATGCTAGCATTCCAACACTGTCATCTCCAGCTGAGCAGCCCCCGCCACCTTCCAAAACAGGGAAGCAAAAAAAAGAGTTCACCGGGCTAAGTGACCGCATTTTAAATAAGAGTGCTGGCCAACCCCTGGCAGAAATAGAATTTGAAAGGAAAATCCAAGGTCTCTTACAGTATGTATTCTGTGTGTACTGAAAGTGATTCGTCTTTCTGATTGTCTCTAGGCAAGAATAAGTTATTTGACAAAGCAATTAAAGTGAAATAGGAGACAACAGCCATGTTTTTAGCTATATTCAAACCATACACTTCTTTTAGAGGAAAAGGAATAGAAAAAACAAAATATGTATGCCAGTTATTTAGAAGAGTCATTCACAATGAACTGCTCTGGGAACCACAGTTGTTTGGAACACAAGCCAAACTGGAGGTGAGGGTGTTTGAGGCTTAGGGTTCAAGCAGCCAGAATAGACACCACCAACTCCCAAGACATGAACTAATTTCACAGGATTTAACTGTCACCCCTGCAGAGGCTGCCTGTCCTTCCTTATACACAGTTCTAGTGAGTTTGGTTATCTGACACTCAGCCTACAGCAGGACAGAAGCAAAAAGTCAGATGGAGCTGCCAGATGCCCACAGGACTTGACAAGTCCTGCCAACTCAACCTCCCACTGCTCTCTCAAACTTGTGCCCCTTTCTCCAACTTCATGGCCACCATCCGTTCCAGCCACCATCTTCTCTCATTGAGATAGTTGTAATAGTCTTCTAACACTCCCTGTTTCCACTCCTGTCCAGGACCGGCTATTCTCACAGCATCCACACATGTGTCAGCAACAAATCACGAATCTGAGCGTCCATGCTTCTGCTTTAAAACTGCATTAGTGGCTTCCCATTGACTGGAGATACAGTCCATAGTCACTTCCTGGGTCTCAGGCCATCCAGGATCTGGTCCTTACTTCTCTCTCTAGTTGACACTGCAATCACCGTTCCCCCTTTCTCTCTGCTTCAGCCTCATCTTTTCCTTCCAGTTTCTGGAACGTGCCCAGCTGCTTCCCACCTCATAGCCTTCACACTATCTGTTCCCTCTTCCTGAAATGCTCTTCAGTGCACTGTTCACCTGGCTAATCCTTTCATCCTTTATAACTCAGTCCACTTCCTTGGGAATATCCTCCTAACTGGCTGTACTGGCTACCTCATCCCCACAAGCATCCCAGATTTTTCCTTCATAGTCCCCGTTTCCTTCACTTTATGGTGAATTTTATAAACTTCTTTACTACACTTACCACTTTTTGTGGTGTCTGGTTTTGTTCCTGTATGGGAAAGAATTCAACCATGGCCAAAGAGGTTTGGCCTTGGTGCTCAGCTTCTGGAGGTAAATTGCTCAGACCATGGAACGTTATCCCTAATAGAGGTGTTTTTGTTCACCTGTGGTTCTTGGCTCTCACTAGGTAGCCTAATAATGTGATAGGTAGGAGTTTTGGGTCACTCGGCATCAGTTCTACCTCTGGAGGGGCTACAGACTGAGATCAGCTATGTGGGCCATCAACCATGCTATATGATGGAGTCCTAAAAAAAAATTCTGGACACTCGGACTCTGATGAACTTCTCTAGCTGGTACTACTTTGTGCATAGTATCACACATCAGTGCTGGGGAAGTTATGCTGTCCATGACTCCACCAGGAGAGGGAAACGGAAGCTCCATGTTTGGAAATTCCCTGGACTCTGTCCTATATACCTCTCCCCTTGGCTGATTTTCATCTGTATCCTTTAGCTGTAATAAACCATAACTGTGAGTATAATACCTTGCAGTGAGTTCTCGAGTCCTACTAATGAATTATAACCTGAGAGTGGTCTTGTGGACGATACCCCATTGTATTTTCTGCAGCAAGCGTATTTCCTGACACACCGTAAAGTGCTTAATGCACTTCATAATGATCAAATTTAACATATTAATATTTTTCTAAAGGTACTTTTAAAATGAGCATGTAATACCTTTACAGTTTCAAGAATATATTTCCATTTTGCCAACTCCTACTTCTGAGTCAAGGGCCAGAACAAATGTCCCCTCTACCATGAAGCCTCCTCCTACTCCACAGGGTTTGTCATGCTTGGCTTTGTGTTCTCTGACCCATTACTCTGCTTTCAGAGCAGTTAGTGGCATTGAAACATCTGTTTCTACAAAGGACCGATGTCAGAGCAACTCTGAATCCCTAGCATTGTGTGCCGCGCTTACACAGAGCAGGTACACAAGAGGTGTTTGTAGATTGAAGGCAATTTTTTAAAAGGTTTGGTTTATAAAAGATAGGTTCAATTATCTGTGAAATTCTGGTACATATTACAGCTCATTCCCTGAAAAACAAGATAGCTGTTACTGCAGTAACAGTGTTATAATGGTGTTCTACTCTATTCTTTTTTTCTTTCTAAAAATAAAAATGGTCTTCAAAATTATTATCCACTTTAAAAATCTGACATACTCTACATTAAAATACAGAAGCAGATCACCAAACTTTTAAGTCATCTGATTCCCTAATTAGAATGAAATAGTACATTTTATTTATATAATGCATTAAGAAAATAAAAAAATCCACCACTAATCTTTCCTTTCCTCTGTACAAACCTAATTGAAAATTCAAACAGCACACCAGTAACCTAAGATGTCCCCAGGTAGCACAGGAAAATCAATTTTATTCTCTTCAGACCTGCATTTAAACTGGATAACAACAGCTATAATGTGCAACAGCCATAATCCAATTTCGATTTGTTTGAAAAGATGAGTATAAACATTAAACAAGAAAGTCGCAGGACTGTCATAACAGTGTTCACCCTGTTAACTCATTATAGAACAAAGCATTTTACTTTGCTCCTAGAAAACATGTTTTATAGAAAATGTATAAATGTGATTTTGAACAATCCTTAAATACCATCCACAAAGTCCCTTATATTGCCTCACCCAAAGATAAAAGCAGCTTTGAACCCGGAGGCTGAGGGAAACTTTGAATGACTCCTTATATGTATGAGATTGTATTTAAACATCCCTCTGTATTGGACCGCACAACTGCCAAGGATATGAAAGCAGCGCCTAGATCAGTGGATCTCAAATTATAATGTGCATAATAATCATTAAAGTGAAGATATTAGGGCTTACCCCAACAGTGTAATTCAGTAGGGCTGGACCCCTTGCTCTTTGAACATAAGTACCTGAAGGATTCAGAGGCAGGCAGCCTGTGGACTGCACATTGAGAGACTTGTTTCCCAAAGGAAGTCCAAGGACATAGATAATGACAGTAGATAATGCAATGCTGTGGTTCTTCTGTGTCTCCCAGCAAACTCTCAGCTCCTGGAAGCTCAACTGTTGCTTATTTCATTTTGTATCTTTGGCACCCAGCTCAGCACTGAGCACTTACTAAATACAGTTCAGTTGTAGCAAAGCAGCATGCAGCCACATTCAGTCTACATAAGCAACAGGAGAATTCACCAGGGATGCATTTCGGAGGGTCACGCATGATCCTAACAAGGTTATCTACAGAGCAGGTGGCATGTTTAGGCAGGACATTGACCTAGATTAGAGCCTTTAAACTTCAACATGCAAATGTGTCCTCTGGGGATATGGTAAAAGGCTGACTGACTCAGTAGAGTCAGTTGAGTCTGGGGTGGGGCCTGCACTTCTAAAGACCTTCCAGGAAATGCTGATGATTTGCTCAGGGAGGCTCCACCTAACTGGCAAGAAATGTAACGCATATTAGCCAAAGAATGGCCACATAAACAAACACCAAAAAGAATGCAAACTCAGATCTACAATGAACTGGGAACTGGAAAGCCAGTAATTGTAGACCAAGGGAAATAATTCCCAAGTTAGTTTACAGGACTGTGTGCCTGACATGTGTCCCTGACAGTTGCTCCTGAAGGAACCAGTAACGTGCAGTTGTAGAAGAAAATCTCTACAGCCCACAACACATCAGATATGGCAGAAGCTTTGCCTGCACTCACATAAAAGGATGCAACTTCCACTCTCAGAGACCTCAAGGTTTTACCATAGTTTTTCTTAAACTCATTTCTAACAGAAATTTTGGGAAAAAAAATTCTCCTGCCCAATGGTCTGTAATCTTCCTGTTCTGCCTGTTAAAACAAGGACTATTTAAAACAAATATGTACAACAAAAATCTTTGTAAGTGGAAGACATTTCCAAGCCCTTGGTAGGGAGCACAGTTCATTTTCTTTATGCGATATTCAGCAGACAGAACCTTCCCTAGACCAAAGACAGCGGGCAATTCCCTGGCATTGACTGTACTGTAGAGATTTGACTTATCCCTCCTCCCTCCATCTCACTGCAATGTTCAATGTTTCCACCTGCCAGGTGGTGGGAGGTGAGCATAAATCATTACCC